CCCCCCCCCCCCGGCAACTCACTGGAAAGCGAAGGTGCTGCCGTAGAGTTTCTTGGCGGTGCGGAACCGGGCTTCCTTGGCCGGGGGGCTGCTGAGCAGGAGGAACTGGTGGGAGGTGTGCATGAACTTCAGCTGCTACCAGGGGAAAGGGACGAGCAAAGGCGGCGCCGGCGGGGAGAGAGGACAGAGAGACACAGACAGACAGACGGAGATCATGCACGGCAGCCCGGCCCCGTGCCTGGCCCAGCCCTGCTTTGGCCGTCCCGAGCTTGCCAGGAGGGCCCGCGGCATCCCCCGTCTCTTGGCCCCCGTCCCAGAGCCCACGTCAAATATCCTCTATCCTCTATCCCATATCCTGCCTCCCACGTCTCGCAGGCTGCAGACCCCATCCCAAAGGCTGCCTCCGACACCCCAGACCCTTGTATCGCCCACCCCATATCCTTACCTCCCTCACCCTCCATCCCGCATCCTCCGTCCCACGGCCCGCACCCCATACCCTATGTCCTGCACCCCATTCCCTACAACCCGTACCCTCCATCCCGCATCCCACACCCCACACCCTACGTCCCGCATCGCATATCCTACGCCCTACCTCCCATACCCTCCATCCCGCGTCCCACATCCCACATCCCACATCCCACGTCCCACACCCTGTGTCCCCCATCCCATGTCCTACATCCCGCATCCTATAGTCTGCACCCTGTGTCCCGTATCCCACATCCCACCTCCCATACCCTACATCCCACATCCTACATCCTACGTCCCACCTCCCATATCCTGCATCCCACCTCCCATATCCTACATCCCGCATCCCATACTCTGTGTCCTGCGTCCCATACCCTCCATCCCACATCCCACACCCCGCCTCCCCTACCCTCCATCCCACAGCCCATATCCCACATCCCACATTCCACACCCTCCATCCCGCGTGCTGCACCCGCACCCCACCTGGAGCCCGGCCAGGCCCCTTACCCTGCTGAGGGGCAGCTTGACGATGTGGGATCTGTTGCTGGAGATTATCCTTGGGAAGAGGAGGAGGAAGAGGAGGAGGAGGAAGGTCAGACAGGGTGGTCCCACGCTCCCCTGGGAGCAGGGC